CCCCAAAACCCCAAAACCCCAAAACCCCAAAACCCCAGGATTTTTGTTCATGCTTGAAAATAAAAACCGAGCATGGGAGAAGTAGACTCTTAAGAAGACTGAAGGAACCATGGGCTTAAGGAATGAAGGTAATGTGATTTTGGATATGGAGGAGAGGGATGGGTATATGGGGTAGAAGGTTCGTGAAGAGAATTTGGGGTGTTTGGAAATTTTATGAGGCTGTAGGATAAAATAACCAATTAGAATTTTGGGTCTATTCATTTGGTAATAGGGGTTTTTGGAGCTCTGATTGTTCCTTATGGAGCCTGAGTTGGACATCATCTGATAGCTTTTCCCAATCCACAAAGGAACAGATGATATTGTATGCGACGGAAACGAATAGTGTTCCAACAGGAACTCCAAGCCAAATTCCTACCAGTCTCAAGCCCACCACATGTGAGAATATGTAAGCTAGAGGAACTGAGAATACCCAAAATCCTACTAGAGTAAGCCAACTGGCATACTTTTGGTAGCCAATAGCTCTGACAGTTCCAGAAGTTACTGTTTGTAAGTTATCGAAAAACAACATGAGAGAAAAATATGGGACTATGCTGACCACCAACTTGACAACGTTGAGTTCTTGAGTATAAATGAACGCAATGTTTTCTCTCAAAAGAATCATGACCACAATGATGATAGCTGTCAAGAAGATGATCCACATAATGGATATGAGGTAGTATCTCTTTGCTTTGACTGTGTTTCCTTCTCCCAGACTATTTCCAGCTAATGTCGAAATAGCAAAGCCTGTGCCTCCTGGGATGACATAGAACACTGCAAGTGTGTTGAACAATATCACATTAGCAGCAAGTTCGTTGACTCCAAGAAACCCTGCGAACAATGAGAGAACTTCAAATGACCACCACTCAAGTCAGAGCATTCAGGCTGCTGGGATTCCATATTTGAGGTAGGTTCCCCATCCTTTCATGCTGTCATTGTTGAAAAAGAACCAGGACCCTTCAGGTACCACCCCTTCTCTGAATGTAATGTATCCAGTAATGATCAGCAGGTTGAGCCAGAATGTAATACAGGTGGCTATTGAAGTTCCTGCAACTCCGAGCTCGTAAGTGAACACCAAGAGATATCACATGACAATATGGATAACCATCGTAACACACTGGATCCACATGGACAGAGAGAAGATTTCCATGCTTTGCAAGTATCTTCTGACTGTTTCGAACTGGGTCATCGCAAACATTCCTGGAAGCAGGATGAGGACATAGGTCCTACCATAGTTAGCAGCATCTTCTTCTTGACCTATATCACAAATCAGATGGTAGGACATTTTAGTCCAATAAATCTCTTCATTGGTCAATCTATTCTGATATTTAAATACCTAGCTTTATTTGAAAGAACTAAGCATCTAATTTACTTCAAAGAAATGTAGCTACAATTAAAAATGTAGTCTACGAAATATCTATGATGCTTTATCAATACACTATATAAACTCTATTTGTAACCCTCATAAAAATGCACTAAATTAATTATTTGCTTACCTAGAAGAATCAAAATTTCTTTTGTGAATAACAAAATAATCACTTCAGGGATAAAGAACATTGCTTGGATGATTCGACCTCTGTTGAGGTAACATCCTCATAGATAATATTTGTGATTTCCATAAGCCTGTGAAACCAATGTATCGATTGCTCCATTGAGTCCCATTCCAATTGAGAAGCAGACAACATTGAGAAGCATGTTGGCAAGTCCCACACCACCAAGGGCTGCAGGGTTGTTCAGATTGCCCACAAATATCAAGTTGATAACATCGACTAGCATCTCAAATAAAAGTCCAATGATTGAAGGGATTGAAGTGACCACAATGGACTTCAATATAGTAGCATTGTGAATAACAGAGTCAGAGCCTTCTTGATCCGTTTGAGCCTGATAACTCTTCTTCTGATCTAAAATCTGTTCACAGTTGTTTTCAGATGACATTATTTATTAATTTATAACCATAGGCTTTTAAATTCTTCTCATCGATGGGGTTTTGGGGTTTTGGGGTTTTGGGGTTTTGGGGTTTTGGGG